ATATATATTAAAACTAAGCAATTTACGTTTAATACATTTGACTTATTATTAAACTTTACTATAGAATTTTATAGCATTATTAAACACATGTATATATTATTATAAACAAAAGGAGATAATAATGGATTTATAAAACATCCTCTATATTCTTGTGTAGGTATTATATTTCGAATATAGCTTTTGCACAGCCTTTGTATCCTCTCTAGTCAGTTATTCTCATACACGAAGGTTCATGTCAATATTAACAATAAAGCATCACAATATCTTCTTAAGAGTATTTTTACTGGTATTTTCGACAATCGCAAACGCTCACGTTGCGATCTGATCGCAGTACGTGTCACGATGCTCTTATAAGGTATAAATTCACGTAATTTCTTAATTATTACGTTTGATATCTTATGTCTTCAAATATTTGGCTCTATTTTACACTCTATATTTCTTGCTCAATTTTTATCAAAGATTAATTCGATGGATATATAATATCTTTATAGAAGATGCAGCAAACATTTCTTTTTCAAGATTACTCAAATTCCAGTAAAAAAAAGAAACAAAAGTAGGAGAATTTTCTGTATCCTAATTAGAAATGTAGGAAAAGACACGATATAAGCAATCATATTTTTTGATAATACCTACATACGCATATCAGTTGATAGCGGAAAAGTGATGGAGAACATTCTATGTACATTTAATGCAAGAGTATGTTAATGCCTGACTACAATCACTATTATTTTGTCTATTCATCGAAGCAAGTTGTAAACACAAGAATCTACGTCTGCCGTACTTCACAAAATTATGTTTACTTGCGCAGTGATACTATATACATGTATACACACACACATATATGTATACATACGCATATATTCTTTAAAATTATACAAAATTCCCATCCAATCATACTAATTTTTTTAAGTTTCTAGGTTTGTACCCAGTTTGTATGCAATTCCTTAATTGTTTTCTTTTTGTAGAAACATTAGTGACACAAACGAATTGAATACTAATATCCGTTGTATCTAATATATATATATATATATATTTCATTTTTTTTTCTCGTTAATTATGCGTTACAAGAGTAACCAATTTTGTGTATCTTAAATGTAAATTTAGTATTGCTTTCACGCGTATTAATATGTAAATTTATTCTGTATACATAGTTCGTATAAAATTTTGAAATGACCGTCACGAAATCATACATCGAAATTAAGATATAAACTTCCTTTTATAATCTTATAGGATGGAAACAATCGAATCATAATAATATTACAGCTTGAAATATGTATTATTATTTTCTGTGACAATTTGTTCTGTGTAACTCATATTTATTAATAGACAATTCGTAAGTGATTATATTATGCGCGCGCGCGCATGGCATTTTTTACTGACCATGATTAACAAAACGCATATTTGAAAATCATAATTCGGTATTTCACTTCTCTCCCCCCCCCTCTCTCCCTCTCTTTCACTCTCTCTCTACTAGTATCTTACTTTCATATAGTTATACTAACACTCTGTGTGTGTGTATAGCTCTATTTAATATCAAATATCCAAAGACGTTTTTCTTTTACTAACGTTCAAAGTATTGTATATATTATAAAACTTTAATTGTGTCTTGTATATGTATATATATATATATATACACACACACACACATACACGCTATATATATATATATATAT